GAGATTCGGAATCTACGAAACATTTTTCACGCACTAGTGTTTTTCCATGACAATAAAGACAAGTTTCAACTTCGTTTGGAATTTTTTTAAAAATATTTTCGGATTTTTCTCGCTATGTGACGACTATGACTGACGGAGTTTTATTTAAAATAATTCCAAATTTGTAATTTAAGGAAAATACTTGATAATCCAGCATTTTCTTCCTAAGAGATTTTAATATTTGTTTTGGAAAATTTTTGGAAATTTTTTCAGTTTTTAGCATTTATTTGAAAAAATATGGCCAAAATAACTTTAGATTCAGAATCGACCAAGAGTTCTTCATGTATTCGGGTTTGTTCCACAATAGTAGGAACATTATTCAATTTTTTTTTCTTTTTCTCTATTAATTTGCTAAGTATAACTAAAACCGCTTCGAACTTGATAAAAATTCTATACAAGATAGTTTATATTCCTCTTGAACACCGCTGATACTTGATAAATGACCGTGCTAATCGTCGGCTTCTTAGGAATTATAAAAATAAACACTCGAAGTTAAGCATGTCATTATTACTGAACGACATTTTTCCCGTATGTTATCTGCTTTAAATATATGGGTTTTGCATTCTCCGTACGTGTGAATTTGCGATGGATATAGGTGGGGCTTAATTTTTGACTTGTTTTTTCTTAATATATCTGTATTCTTTGAACAACACGATACTCAAAAACATGTTTTCTATTTCGTGTAGAAAAATAAGGGTTTTGCAATTAAGCTCCGCCCTCTTGACTTACGACGAATAAAAAATTCATCAGAATTAAGATAGGGTGGGTGGGCGGGGCTGATATTTTGCCTTTTTTTTCTTAAGATAAATAGCCATCTTTTCACAACAAGAAACTTAAAACATGTTTAAAATGGTAAATTTGTATAGCAAAATATCGATGTTGCAAAGACAAAATAAGTTTTTGCATTTTGCCTAGTTTTTCTTAATATTCGTAGTCTTCTCTTCACAACAACAAACTTAAAACTTGTTCAAATTGGAAAATTTGTATAGACAAATATGAATTTTGGAATTACGCTCCGCCCCTCGGGTCTGACAACGAATGAAAAAATCATCAGAATTGAGAGGAGGGTGGGTGGGCGGGGCTTATGTTTTGCCTTCCTATTTAATATACATAGTCTTCTTTTCCCAACAAGAAACTGAAATCATGTTTAAAATGGTACATTCGTGAATTTTTGTAGAGAAGTATGGATTTTGCAAATAAGCTCGCCCTTAGGCCCGATTACGAACGAAAAATTCAGCTGTATGCCGCTACTGATACCATTATACCTTGATCTTATTTTCACCCCTCATCTCATAAATTCGTAGCATTTCATGAAGCCTTTGAGAGTGAACTTGGTATCATTAAACAAATTGCCATTAGTAGTAAATTTCCCTTACACCTAGTTATAAAAGTTTTCTATAAAACCCTATATCAATATAAACTCTCCCTTAAATTCACGCCGATTTCTAATCACAGGTTATCTCCTGCTTTACCCTGTCTTCTTCTTTGGTTTTCCTTCTCTGTCCATTTTCAAAATTTTCAAAAAACTAGATCATAACATTGCCTTTAGGCGAATAAATAAATCATCACAATTGAGATAAGGTGGGTGGGCGGGTTAACAGTTTGCCTTTTTGTTTTAATATGTGTAGGACTTATTTTCACAACATGAAATAAAAATATGTTTAAAATGGAAAATTTGTACAAGGAAATATCGATTTAGCAATTAGGATCCGCCCCCTACGATAAATTACCAAAAAATGGATAGTATAAACGACGCATACCTTCGTTGCGTATTTATCTTACAACAGCAACGTCAGCGGCAAGTTTATAAATCGACCTTAAATTCCTATATGAATACGTAGCTCTGTAGTAGTCAATTTCTATGTTTAATTTAACTTCAAGCTTACATTTAACCTAATATAGTGAAAAAAATACGATGATAATGAAATGATACGATTTATCGAGTATTGTGAACGGAAAATAGTGGTAAAAACCGCAATCCGAAATTGCCATAAATAATTAAGATATTGATTTTTAAAGGTGCGTGATCAAAATTCCCCCAAAATAAAAAAAATGTACAGAAAGTTGTACTTAAAATTTGGTAACAATAAGTCTATTAATAATGGGCATTTTACACGTAATATTAATAACAAAACTGCGTTGTTTGTTTGCTTTCGATGTCTTATTTTATTCTGTGAAAGAAATTCAACCACATACCGTCACGATGACATACTTGTTTTGCCTTGTTTTTCACGTTGCACTACTTCCGAAAATAACAATAACCGTCTCACGCTTAGTGCCAACTTTTTTATATTGTACAAGTTTGAAGAAACATATTTAAAGTATGCCAAGAAAGGTATATAAAAATACCACGACAAAGTTAAGAAACAACAGTTTCAATTTTTTTTTTCAGTATCCATGAAACTGTCTGCTTTAATAAATCAAATTTTAATTAGCCAAGACTACACCGCATAAAATTACAAAATTAAACATTCGACAATGGTCACTGTCACACCATTATATTTATTTCGGAACGTACTTGCATTGTCTCCGACACGATAGCCTTGAATTGTTAATAAAATTATTTACTGCATTTAAAAATCCACCCAAGATGGTCCCTGTTTTCAACCAGTAAAATAATCATTTTCATACACCCAAATTTTTATTCTACAAATAAAATTTTCCAAACGCTGAACAAACATAGAAAGATGTTTTCCAAACTTCCACGAGTGTTAACATCCCGGAAGTTGTTATCACTCCAACGCTAAACCAGATAGATAAAACATCGAAAAAAGATCAGTTGAATTGTAAACAAACCAAACACACCTCTTCAATTCCAGGAAAAACCGCCATAAAAGCACTCTTGTGTGCTAAAAATCCAAATCAACCACAACTGCACACACACGAAGCTAGAATTAATTAGTGTTTGTGCTGACGACTATGCCTGGCAGGATAATTTAAAAGCTACAAGTCTTGTTTTTACGTAACCAACTATATCTTTATGTAACTAACAAATCATAACTCAAAATAAAAACCAACCAACGTCTTATTTATGCAGCAGCAGGGTAATCTGTTAAAAATTACACAGGACGTGTTTTTGCTTAAAATGCAGTAAACGAACATTACGACATTCATTCATAAATATTTTCTCCTTAAGGTTATTTAGGGTGCATCTCATTTCAAAATTAATCACTTCCGATGGCAGATTTATCACTTCCATAATTCGTTAATTAAAATGGAACTTTATGACTTTTGACAAGAAAATCGACGACGTAAACATTAAATTACTATTGTGCAACGATAATAAATTAAATAAAGCTGTGACGGAACTTGCACAAAAATAAACAAATGCAAAACTGACAAATATTGTGTTATCGCGGTTGGTAACACAGCTAAAAAATCAAAATCGTCGAAATAGTGCTAAATTACTTCCAGTCGAACACTATTAATAACTTCGAACGTGAGTCAATACACAAAGTTATTAATAAAAATTGTTTAAAACGTGGAACGTCCAAAAATAGAGTTTTAAATAGAATTTTCGTCAACTCCATCTGATTTAATCAAGTCCGTGTCACTTCTACCAATTTAAATTTTAAATTGTGAGAATAATGCACAACATTTTTGACCCTTTGGAACTCGGAGTATTTAAGAGGTCAAACATATTTGATCTAATAATGGTCGTTACAATGAGAAAATGTGTTTGGTCATGTGTATTTTCCCAATTGAAATAAAAATAGATCGAGTTTACGCCGAATGCGTGGTTAAGTACTAAATCAAAAACAAACTATCTAATTTTAAAATTTAAAAAAAAAGTAAACGAGTTGGTTTGCGTAGGGTTATCCGGTTGCTGAAATTACAAAATCAGTCACCTCAGAAAATGGAAATATGCAGGACACAAGAGCACAAAATTACAATAAACAAATATATAGCAAAACTGTTGCTACCCGTGCGTGATTTGATACCCATTCAGACAGCTTTCACCTTCTTGAGTTTATTACCAAATTAAACAAGTTTTAAAAAATTTTTGTTTCCAATTTTTTAAATGTTAAATAAAGTACGTTTCTAAATAAGTGTCAGGATCTTACTTGTTGTAGATTACGATTTTCCTCCGACTGAATTACACTGAACGAGCAATATTAAAGCTCTGATTGTAGCTGGATCACACTATCACTTTATTGCTTTGATTAGACCTTAACCGCAGGCGGAGATACGCATAAAGAACCGACAATAAACCCGTCTGGACTTGTTAAAACCTCAAAGATAAATACGTTGAGACGGAATAAAATGTGCTGGGGACGGAGATAAAAAAGTTCACGATCAGACGACACTAGCGGCATTATTAATAATCAGAAAACAACATAATTGAAAACATAAACAAGTTCAGAACCAAGGAAAGTAGGTATCGAGGTGTCGTGCTTTCCTTTTTTGCGTAAAACGAGAAAACTAGACAAAAAGGGCAACAGGTGGGCAGGTGCAATGCTTATTACGAAAAAACAACAACGACCGCAGGAAGTTAGAAATGAAAACTAATTAGTGTCTTCGGGGATAAAATCCACAGTTGGAGGAATCACGTTTACTAGAACCATTGACATCCCAATTCATGCCTACCATGAATGCATAAGTCATGCACCATGCAGCGATGCATTTCATGAATGGGAAATTGTTGTAAACGTAGTAAAATTTTCCGCCATTTTGACTGGATCCAGATAAAGTGAGTTCGGGACGGAGTGGTTCATTCATGATGGATACAATGTGATTATCTCCTTATACGTATTTACTTATCAAACTGCATTCACGATAAGAGTAAACAACTTAATTCTATGAATGAAAGAAAAACAAATTACGTCACACATACCTTGCTCAAGTTTGGGTTGGGCCACTACAATGTGTTTCTTGGCGGGATTTCAGGCGCACGACTCTGGAATCGTTCCACTTATTTTAAATCAGTCTAAATATTGCTGATTTGGGGATGATCACTCGTCGTTTGCTTTTAATTAGGCGAAGTTTGAATAAACTTGAACAAGAATGACAAGTCAGCCATTACTAGAGCGACCACGAAACGTCAACTCTAAAACGAAAATTACTAGCGAACGGGCGGGCAATTCAAACACAAACGTCGGTCGACTTGGAAGTTTGACTTTTAATAAATAACATTTCGTTTTAATATTTACAGTGTGTTTCAAAACCTACCTCAACGTTTTTTGTTGACTATGCGAACGCAAATGCTTTTGTAACGCCGACGATTGCGAAAATTTTACGTCACAAATACTACAAACAAACGGCTTTTCTCCAGTGTGGACCCTCAAATGTCGGGTTAAATGCGCATTCTGAATGAAGCTTTTTCTGAAACAAACTCGTAAATGGAGATAGACGCAACCAAGGAATCAATTACGGGCAAAAAGTGCACTTGTGGGGTTTGTCTCCATTGTGAATCATAACGTGCGTCTTGAGGGATCTAGGGTCGGCGAAAGTCTTCTGACACGTCGCACACACTAGAGGCCTTTCGCCCGTGTGTTTGCGCATGTGCACTTTTAAATAGTACGGCTCTGAAAATCTATGCACTACTCAACTTTTGTACGTTTTGGTTTTACTTAATACCCTTGCCCACACTCCTCACAAAAGTGCTTCTTCTCCCTTGGTACACCAGAGTGGTGGCGTAAATGTTTAACTAAAGCGTACGACTCTGGGAAACTTTTACTACAGATTTTACAAGTGTGTGGTTTTTGGGTTAGGTGGATTTTTAAATGGCGCTTTAACGCTTGACGTCCTAAAATGAAATTTTAGTGGTTTATATAGTAAAGTAATGGTTTTCACACTTGTAAATTTTTTTGAACATGATGTGCAAACCAAGTCTGGGTTGTGGACAGATGTGTGAATTTTTAAGTCACTCTCTTCGTTGAAAGATTGGGTGCACGTTTGACACTGGTGTCGCAATGGTGGTGGTAATGGTTCATCCAAAAATGATATTAAATCCTCCCTCAAGGACATTTCTTCACTGAAAATCTTTGTTAGTTATTAATGACTCAGTACTCAGAGATTTACTTCTCTGATAATTCAAGAGTGTTACAATCCTCTTCTGCTTTCACTTGACTTTTTACTAAATCTCTTGAATCACTAGAATCACAAGAATTATCTTGACTAATTTCACTCTTGTTTTTGTAGTTTGGTTGACTCTTATCATTTCGTTCCAAGGCCTTTCTCAACGTGGACTCTGACCTTCTACACAACTGTCTGAAACTGTAGCACTGTTCCAAAATTTGCAAACATGTACAACATATTTGAGTTGGTAACCCGTCGTTTTCTGACACCTTAAATAATGGTTGATTATACAGAATAGTATAACGTTGCTACATACGTTGCAAAAATTGCAATCCCGGAGCATTTCTGTCGCTTTTGAGTCCGTCAAGGGGGTTAAGCGGCCGCTTGTTTGTAGGCAAGTTCGACAAATTGCAAGACTTAAAACTACAACTGAATTAGTACAAAGTTACAAATTTCGTGGTAACGTACCATGTATGGTAAAACTATCGGAATCCATTCCAAAATTGTTGAAATAATAATGATTTAGAACAGCGAAAATGGTTAACCTCAAAATTATGTCAACAAATGAAGCTACCACTACCAACCGTCGACTATACAAAAACAAATTCCCCTATAAACTTAAATATTTAATAATAGCAAACCAATCAATTGATTATTTATGTATTTGCATACGTAAAAGTTCAAAGATTATCATTGTCATTGAAATTCACAGTGAAATTATCGAATCACTCATTTTAGTATAAAATAGTTATCTTTCTACAATTAGGGTAATAGTTCATTTCAACCAATTTGTTGTTGAGTCAGCACTGCTTATCACTTCGACATTTTTAGGTTAAGTCAAAACATGACCATGTCACAAATACTATAAAAAATGTCAGTTTTTTCCAAAGTACGAAACTTCTTCAGCCGCCACCGCAACAAATTCATCGTTGGCGGCATAATAATCGGTGGTTCGATCTTCCTAACGCGCTACGCGCAGCAGAAACTGAAGGAATGGCAAGAGAAAGAAACTCTGGAGTTTCTAGAACGGAACAGAAAACACCAACACTTTGAAAGTATTGGCAGAACGTGCAACCAAACCATACTAAACTTATCAATAGCGTTGAACGAGACTATCAATAAACGGATAAACACAGAAGAAGTGATTGAGCGCCTCAAGAGTAATCCTGAAAACAAATTGGGTCTGTGGAATGAACTGAAAATATTAGTGTTCAGTAAAGCCGCATGTACCATTTATGCCAACGTGATGTTAGTGGTGACACTGAAGATACAGTTGAGCATAATCGGGGGCTACTTATACAAAGACCCAAATTCGCTTTCATCGGATATGCAAGAGAGGTATTTGTCGTATTGCCAGAACTTAATGGACGCGGGTTTTAATAAATTGAACGACCTTGTAGACAGAACTGTGAGTACGTATTTTGTTGTGACTTATTTTAAATTAATTTCAAATTTACAGTGTAGGAAAGTGCTGAACTCTGTAAATCTGACAAAACAGTTAAAATTGAGCGACTTGGAGGCCATATTTTGGTCAATTCAGACTGCAGTGGCCACTGATAATGACAATCCTGTGGAAAACTTGAGACACTATATTTTACCAGACGTTGATGTTCCCAATTCAGAAGGAATTTATGAACGAGTGGCAAGTGCTTAAATTTGTGTAAAAACCGCTTTTACTGATGACTATTTTAGGTGAAAGACACGTCAGACTTACTTGAAAGTGATGAAGTTAAGTCTTTGGTGACACACTGTACAACTAGAGGGTTCATGGTTTTAGCTGAACAACTATCTGAATATTATAACACCAACGGGATCACGGAAAATGGAAAAGTTTCAGAAACGGGTGAATTTATTAACCCTTTTAATATGAAAAAACCCATGGCGAAAGTTTTGCCAATAATAAATGGACTGTTTTCAAATAAAACGTTGCCAGATCAATTTCTGCAACAACTAATTGTCTATGAGAAACTACAAGTCCTAAGTGCAAATGTTTATGAGTCTTTTTTGTTGTGAAAAATATTTTGTATTGTGTACTGTAGATGGTAGTTGTTCATGTGATGAGGGACTGTACTTTATCAAACTTGTTATCAGTTTTTCCATTTTACTGAAAATATATTTATTTAAAATATTTTTGTTTTATTCAAGGGGGTCAATAAAAATGCCGTGTGTGTAAAAAATTATTTATTCATACATCATCAAATAAGAAATATAAAAATTATTGGATTCACTAAACACTTTTGGAAAAATTTTATTAAACTTATAGAGATGCTTCAAAAGGTCAACGACCATCGGTTTGGATACATCCACACTCGCAACACTTGCATCGTCCTCCCATGTTTTCACAACGCCACTGCAATCGCTCTCATATCTAAACAAAACTTTAGCGACTTTACAGTCTTTAATATCGCCAACATCACAAATCTGTACCCTCAGCTGTTTTTCTAGAACCCATAAAAGAATAAAATCTTTCTGTTTCGTGGAACTTTGGCAACACAACATAACTTTTGTACTATTGAAAAGAACACTACTTAACATTTCTTCCAATAAAATAAAAACATCGTCTAAAGGGGACGTGAAATGAGACTTATCTCCGTCTTTGAACACAACCGTATTGAACCAGAACTTCACCACTTCGGCGCTCTTTAACTGCCCCAACCAGCTGAAGCACCTTTTACAAACCAACAACTTGTCAGTCTCCACAAAATTCCCAACAACTTTTTTATTCAAGTGACAGTAACAAGTTGTGTAAAACACGTCTAACTCTTTAGGACTCAAAACCGAAACTTTGTTTTCGCAATGACCGTGACAAAACCAGTCGTTGGGTTCGGAATTTTCCGACGGAAGTGGCAAAATCCGTTCGAATTGCACCCGATCGCTTAAATTCTGCAGACAATTTTTGCACTGAATGTTATAAATTTCCGATTTGGTTAAAAATGCGGCTCGAGTGGTGCTTGTTTTTGGAGTGGATTGCAGCGTTCGTAAAAGCTCGGCTTTAAAACTACCCCAGTCGTCTAAATTATTCACGGTGGCAAAGCGAAACGAGACGTACGACTCCGTAACCACTACAGAACTGAGAGAATTGGCAACGATTTTTAAATTTTTGCAACAAATTGTTTCTGTTTGTGTGTCAGCAATGATTTGAAAACTGTCTTCAGACAGGGTGATTTCGACATTTTCGCTACCGCTAAATAAATTAATTAGGACATTAACGGACTGCAGACGCGGTCTGATTTCTAAAATGACCGATTTGTATAATTTTTTTCGAGCTTTTGCTGCCATTGTTAATTTACATTTTCTTGTAACTTTTTGAAAAGGGCGTCGTTTTCTCGAACAACGAAAGGTAGAGTGACTTTTTGGTAGTAGTTTGGTAGCAACTCAATGTTGCTGATTACGTTAGACAGTAAATGCGCTCTTTCTGCTAAAATACCTGGAGCTTCATGCTGTATGTAAGTAAAATGTACATGTAAATGATAGAATGATGGTTGGTAGTGGAGGTAGATTCTCAGTTGGCTTCCATCAAGACCATATTTCGACTTAATGCTTTCCTATAACAAGAATTGTTCAACCATATGGTGCACAAAAAGTAAGACTTACAATTCCTTTCTTCTGGATGTTTTTGAGTAAAGGCAAGTGTTGTGCAGTCAGATCTCTTAATGATTTAATATCACGTTTGTGCACGATTCCTAACAAATAGAGCGTGTCAACTTCGCCATTCCACTTCAAGTCTGGTAATAAAATAAACCCGTTTTCTACATCTGGATCTTCAAATATGATTCGCTCAACTTCTGACTTATGTTCCAAGATATTATACAACCACTACAACAGCTTAACTTAACTTAATTACACAACAATTGATAACAAACCTTCAAGTTAAATTGTTCAGAACTTAAGTGTGGTAACACTATCTTTTCATAAACTTCTGGAGTCTCGTCAACTACGCGACACTTCTGTGGCGAATACTTCAAGAAGTGTTGTTCAGTAGCAGGGTGAATGATGGTCGCTTTGATTGCTAAAAATCACGCACTCAATACATGCCAAAAGTGAGGTTATGTTACTCACTGTTCAGGTTAACTTTAGGAAAATAGTTGTAATTCCCGTAAATATCGTTATGGAAAACCTTCTCCAACGCGCTACTTTTGGTGAAATAGTCGCTATCTTGTTTTAAATTTTCTTCAGCGAAGGCCGTTTTCTCTAAAAGCACTAAAGCTTCCCCCTGTTTGGAGACAAATTTTCCCTTAAGGCACACCGTTTTTCTGTTTGTGTTGTTGTGGAGGACTTTTTCTAGTTGGAAAGATGATAAGTCGACGAGAGATTCGTGGATTCCGTTTTTACATGTTTCTGGTTTTTCTTCGAATTTTTGCTTTTTTGGTGGAGGACAGTCGGCTTCTTGGGTTAAGGTTGCCATTGCTGACAGGTCGCGCTGCCAATCGGGGAAATCTAAATTCACTAGGGTGGATTGGCACCGAGAAACACTGGAAACACAAGAAATTGAGAACGCGTTTCGCCAACCAGGTTGACAACAATGACTACCCTAATTTATGCCTTATTTATTCCGACTCCTCCCACCCTCCCCTTTCTCTGACTTTCGTGAAAGACTAGAAGTTTACAAGTTTTATTGGATGAAAAATCCGAAGAATCCAAACAAACTGAAAAATCCGATAAATTATGTATAAAAAAAATTCAAATAAGTGCAAAAAATCCAAGCAATGCAAGAAAGTCAGTCGAAAATATTCAGAAAATTTAAAAAAAATCGTAGAATTTAATAAATCCACAAAATCCAGGAAACCCAAGAAACACAAAAAATTCAAGAAATCCGATGATTCCAATAATCGAAAAATTGAACAAATCCAAAAAAAAATTAAAAATCTAAAATTCAAATAATCCACAAAATTCAGAAATTTCAAAAAACCGAAGTAATCCAAAAATCCAAGAAACCCAAGAAATCCAATAAAGCCAAAAAATCCACCGATTTGAACAGCTTTCAGGAAAGGTCGAATACCGCGGTGAATACTGTTCCTAGAGCAAAAATAAGCACAGATTCGTGATCCTGAAAATTTTCGATTATTGTAGCAAATGGATAAAACCACTTGTCAAAACGTCAGGTTGGTATTATGCCATCGTAATTTTAAGCTCCTCGGATTGGCAGTGCCTTGACGTTTGATAACTGACAATAACGTCAAACGACTTCAAACCTTCGTGCTTCAAATTCCAAAACACAGCGTTTCAATTTGAAAATATTATGAAGCCAAGAACACGAAATTTGTTCAAAACACAAAAAAAATGCTATTATAAAATGTTACGAAGAGTGGGTGGGGCTTATTTTTTTGTTAATATACATATTAGCATTCTTTGAACTTCACGATACTCAAAAACATGTTTTTTATTTTTCGTAGAAAAATAAGGACTTTACAATTAAGCTCCTTCCCTTGTCTTACGACGAATAAAAAAAAAATCATCAGAATTGAGATTGGGCGGGTGGGCGGGGCTTACTTTTTGCCTTTTTTTTCTTAATATGTGTAGTTATCTTTTCACAACAAGAAACTTAAAACATGTTTAAAATGGTAAATTTGTACAGGGAAATATCGATTTTGCAATTAGGCTCCGCCCGTCGCTTTGACAACGGATGAAAAATGCATAATGATTGAGATTGAGACGGTTGGGGGGGGCTTCTCTTTTCGTTTTTTTTTTTAATTAATACAATTAATTTGCTTTGTATAACATGATTACTTAAAAACATATGTTACATGGTAATTTCTCGTAGAAAAATAAAGATTTTACAATTAAGCTTACGACGAATAGAAAAAATCATCAGAATTGGGACAGGGCGGGTGGGCGGGGCTTATATTTTGCCTTGTTTTCTCTTAATATACATTGCCATCTTTTCACAACAAGAAGCTTAAAACATGTTTAAAATGGTAAATTTGTATAGGGAAATATCGATTTTGCAATTACGCTCCGCCCCTCAATCTGACAACGAATGAAAACTTCATCACGATTGAGATCGAGACGGATGGGTGGGGCTTCTCTTTTTTAATTAATAGATTTAGTTTTCTTTGTATAACACTATTACTTAAGAACATATTTCACGTGGTAATTTCTTGTAGAAAAATAAGGATTTTACAATTAATTCGACTTAAGACGAATAAAAAAATCATCAGAATTGAGATAGGGCGGGTGGGCGGGGCCTATATTTTGCCCTTTTTCTTAATATGTGTAGTCATTTTTTCACAGTAAGGAAGTTAAAACATGCTCAAAATGGTAAATTTGTACAGAGAAATATCGATTTTGTAATTAGGCTCCGTCCCTCGGCCTGACAACGAATGAAAAATTCATCATGATTGAGATCGAGACGGGTAGGTGGGGCTTCTCTTTTCGTTTTCTTTTTCAATTAATACATTTAATTTTCTTTGTATAACACGATTACTTAAAAACATATTTCAAAATCAAATCAAAATTGAGACAGGGTGGGTGGGCGGGGCTTATATTTTGCCTTTTTTTTTTCTTAATATACATAGCCATTTTTTCACAACAAGAAACTTAAAACATGGTTAAAATGGTACATTTTTACAAGGAAATATGGGTTTTGCAATTATGTCTAATTGCAAAATCGATATTTTCTGATAGAAATTTTCGATTTTAAACATGTTTCAAGTTTCATGTTGTGAAAAGAAGTCTACACATATTAAAACGAAAAGGCAAAATGTAAGCCCGCCCACCCGCCCTATCTCCATTGTGATGATTTTTTTATTCGATGTGAACCAAAGGGGCGGAGAGTAACTGCAAAATATTTATTTCTTTACATGAAATTAAAAACATGTTTTTGAGTATCGTGTTGTTCAAAGAATACTATGTATATTAAGAAAAAAAGACAAAATATAAACCCCGCCCACCCACCCCATCTTCGTTGTGATGATTTTTTTTATTCTTACAAACTTAAAACACGTTCAAAATGGTACATTTTTGTAAGGAAATATGGATTCTGCAATTAGGCTCCGCCCCTAGGTCTGGGAACGAATGAAAACTTCATTAGTATTTAGATCAGGGCAGGTATGGATGATGGATTAGTCTTTGGTTTTAATTTTTTCTTAATATAATATAGTACTCTTTTAATAACACGATACTCAAAAACATGTCTTAGATGGTAATTTCTTGTAGATTTTGCAATTAAAATCCGCTCCTTTGGCTCTGGACGATTAAAAAAAATCATCACAATTGAGATAGGGCGGGGCTTATATTTTGCCTTTTTTCTTAATATTCGTAGTCGTCCTTTTAGAACAAGAAACTTAAAGCTTGTTTAAAATGGTAAATTCTTGTAGACTGTAGGTAAGCAGAGAAAGATGTTGTGCCTCGGTGGGATTCGAACCCACGTCTCTTTGCTTTCCGGGCAAGTATGCTAACCGCTACACCACGAGACGACTTATCTTTTCTCTGCTTACCGACGTGTTATTGTGCTGCCACATAGACAAAAATGGATCTTGCAATTAAGCCCCGCCCCTCGATCTGACAACGAATGAAAAATTCATCACAATTGTGAAGTGAAATCAACGTAGGTATGGGTGTGGCTTAATCTTTGGCTTTAATTTTTGCTTAATATATGCAATATTCTTTGAACAATACGATACCCAAAAACATGTTTTTAATTTCTCGTAGAGAAATAAGGATTTTGCAGTTAAGCTCCGCCTTCTTGATTCACGACGAATAAGAAAATCATCACAATTGAGATAGGGTGGGTGGGCGGGCGGGGTTACATTTTGCCTTTTTCCTTAATATGTGTAGATTTATTTCGAAGAAACTTAAAAATGTCTAAAAGAGTAATTTTTTGTATGTAGGAATTAATTTAAATGCTCCACTTTTCTTCTACAACCTCTTTAAATACGACAAAAGTTGAACATCAAACACCCACCGGTCCTCTCTTTTCTTATAGGGTAAAATCATTTGCCAGAAACGATCTTATTTTAACAGGTACTATACCCCCCCCCCACCCACCTATTTTCTTAAAGGGATCTCATTTGCCAAAATCAGTCTTAGCCGTGGTCTTACCTTAGCACGTGCTAAGATAGGACTGATTTTGGCAAATGACATACCTTCCAAGAAAATAGAGGGCGGGTGGGCGGGGCTAGTACTTGCTAAGATACGAATGACTTTGGCAAATAACATACCTTCCAAGAAAATAGAGGGTGGGTGGGCGGGGCTAGTACTTGCTAAGATACGAATAACTTTGGCAAATGACATATCTTCCAAGAAAATAGAGGGTGGGTGGGCGGGGCTAGTACTTGATAAAATAAAACTGATTTTGCAAATGACATACCCTCTAAGAAAACAAAGGGTGGGTGAGTGGGGGTAGTACTTGCTAAGATACAAATGACTTTGGCAAATGACATACCTTCCAAGAAAATAGAGGGTGGGTGGGCGGGGCTAGTACTTGCTAAAATAAGACTGATTTTGGCAAATGACATACCCTCTAAGAAAATAGATGGTGGGTGGGCGGAGCTAGTATTTGATAAGATAAGATATGTTTTGGCACTTTTGACATTTTCGACCATTTTTATATCCCAAAAATTAGTTGAAGACATTTTCTTGTAGATTTCGATAACCAGAAGTCATTTTCGGCTTTCTTTCTTCGGAAATTTCTATCGCTAATTGAAATACAGCAATTTTTTCAGTTTTACAAAAATTATTATTAATTTTTGTTTCACAAAAGACAGGTGTTCAAGAATGAATTTTTGTAGTTTTTATATATTTACAGCAAGTTTATAAATCCAAATTTATACTCCGGCGGTGTAAAATTAAAATATTATACCAGGGGCGTCTACAAACACACTGGACATTGCAAAATAGTAATTTTCAATATTTAAAAAGTTATCCAGAAATTTGTGTTATAATAATCAAAATTATTTTTTTTATCTCGCTCTACTTGTATAAAATGTGTCAAAACTTACATCATATATTTTGAATATATGATGTGTTATTGCTGATGAAGTACTGATAAAAGCGGAGACGGAGACCAAATCATGGCTGATTTAGACATTTATTTTGACGTATTGTTTACACAGTTGCCATGGCAACAGTGCGTGCGGTAGCGATAGTAGAGTGCAAGCCGGTCCTGCCTCTGTGTCACGACGGTAAAAATTTAATGAAAAATTTAAAGAGAGCCACCCCAGATTTATTAATAAAAAAAGTGTTCATGGCAAAACGAGAAACCTTCATAGATATTTTAATAGACGTAACACGTTTGATAAATAATCTTGCATAATCTTCTCGGTAATACAGACTTTCGGAAAAAACTAGACAGCGCGTATACATATTAATAATATTCAGGAACATAATGCAAGGGTCGACAAAAATCGTCATATATTACGTCGATTGATAATGTGCATAAAATTTTGTGGGGTGTTCGAACTTGCTTTACGTGAACATGACGAAAGTAGGGAATCGCAAAATCCAGGTATATTTCGAGGTTTGATTGATTTTACGGCTGAATCGGACTCTGCTTTATCAGATCATTTGAAAGAAGCAACAGTTTTTTAAGGAACGTCTAGAACTGTCCAAAATGAACTTTCAGATTGCCATCAACGTAATATTTTAACCGAAGGCACTTTTACTGAACGTATTTTTGTATTTATTTGTCACACAATTTCGTCTATTAATTGGTTTTAAATCTTCATAATTAACTCATCAATCAAAATGTTTGCCCCCATTTCAAAATGTCGCGAGCCGCCACTGATTTATACTCCGCCGGAGTAGTGATATCTTGGCCTGCTGCGTGATCGAGATAACGAATGTGATAGTTTCCTGTATTACCCACATAATTTAACTGTCAATCAAATGATGCAATCCACATCAGTTTATCACTGCTAATAATAGATCTCGAGTCACTTCTTCCGCGTAAAAAAATACCGGGAAATTATGTTGATTGGACTTTTATAAATCGTAACTTCGCATGCATAATTTCATCGTAAAACAACTAAAACCTGACTGATAAAATTTTCAATCAGTTTTATGCTCTCGATCATACCCATAAATAAAAGACAATATTCAGTTGCAAAAAATTGTATTCAGGTAAACCAAATCTTGTAAAAAAAATTTAGACCAGACATCGCAACCATAAAATAAAATCTTGCGATTTAATATTCTTCGCCTCCTTCGCCTTCACCTTCTCCAGAGTCCATTCCAACCTCTTCATAATCCTTCTCCAAAGCGGCCAAATCCTCACGGGCCTCAGAGAACTCACCTTCTTCCATACCTTCGCCTACATACCAGTGAACGAAGGCACGTTTGGCGTACATCAAGTCGAACTTATGATCCAAACGAGCCCAAGCCTCAGCGATGGCGGTTGTGTTGGACAACATGCACACGGCACGTTGTACCTTAGCCAAATCACCGCCTGGAACGACAGTTGGTGGCTGGTAGTTGATACCCACTTTGAAACCAGTTGGACACCAATCCACGAACTGGATGGTACGCTTGGTCTTGATGGTGGCGATGGCCGCGTTGACGTCCTTGGGGACGACATCCCCACGGTACAACATGCAGCAGGCCATGTATTTACCATGACGAGGGTCGCATTTGACCATCTGGTTGGCGGGTTCAAAGCAGGCGTTGGTGATTTCAGCAACAGAGAGTTGTTCATGGTAGGCTTTTTCAGCGGAGATAACTGGGGCGTAGGTGACTAGAGGGAAATGAATACGAGGGTAAGGTACCAAGTTGGTCTGGAATTCAGTCAAGTCAACGTTCAAAGCGCCATCGAATCTCAAGGAGGCGGTGATGGAGGAGACAATCTGGCCGATCAATCTGTTCAAGTTGGTGTAGGTGGGGCGTTCAATGTCCAAGTTGCGTCTGCAGATGTCGTAGATGGCTTCGTTGTCAACCATGAAGGCGCAGTCGGAATGCTCAAGAGTGGTGTGGGTGGTCAGGATGGAGTTGTAGGGTTCGACTACGGCGGTGGAGACTTGTGGGGCGGGGTAAATGGCGAATTCCAATTTGGATTTCTTGCCGTAGTCAACGGACAACCTTTCCATCAACAAGGAGGTGAAACCGGAGCCGGTGCCACCGCCGAAGGAGTGGAAGATGAGGAAACCTTGCAAGCCGGTACATTGGTCGGCGAGTTTGCGAATACGGTCCAAGACTAAGTCGACGATTTCTTTACCGATGGTGTAGTGACCTCTGGCGTAGTTGTTGGCGGCGTCTTCTTTACCAGTGATGAGTTGTTCGGGGTGGAACAACTGGCGGTATGTGCCGGTACGGACCTCATCTACTACTGTGGGTTCCAAATCTACGAACACCGCCCTGGGGACGTGCTTTCCGGCACCGGTTTCGCTGAAGAAGGTGTTGAAACTGTCGTCACCTCCTCCAACGGTTTTGTCAGAGGGCATCTGACCGTCAGGTTGGATTCCATGTTCCAGACAGTACAATTCCCAGCAGGCATTACCAATCTGGACTCCGGCTTGACCGACATGGACTGAGATACATTCACGCTGGAAAAATAACAATCATTACTATCGGATTTTCACGAATTTAACCATACTCTTGACGCGTAAAAAATTTAAAATGCTCAAAAACTCCACGACTAGTGGACTTTCAACGTCCTAAATAACACGAAACGAACAAAAAACACAGCTAAACAGTTTAATTAAGGATGATTACGCAAAATTCAACAATTCCAGTTTTAGAAGCCGGCTTTTGGCAAGATGGCTGCCCAACCGACGCCACGTTTCACCGGAAAAACACTCTAATCACGAAATTTTCCGCGATTTTACTCGTCACGGCGTTACAGAACGATCAAAAAACCATGTACTCACCATTTTGGTTGTCGAGTTTTATAAATTCACACCACAAAAGGAGCAGCAATGTTAAACGTTTCGGAAATGCGAGCAATGGCCCTTTCCAAACGAATTTGATTCGATTTTCAACTGTCGTTGTTATTTATAAGCTCCGTGACGTCACCAGCCAACGCCTAAATCCGCGCGTTTTGATTGGCTCCCTACTGCCGCCATAGCAACGGTTTCTAACGGAAGATTGTTATCCTTGTTCTCGATCTGCCTCCAAATCAATAATTTTTTATTATTTACACCCCCCTGAAGAAAAATAAAATGGTCATTGTTTAATTCGTGGCGTGGTTGCTTCGGATTGTCGGATTTATCGGCTTTGGATGGGTCTCCAATCGATTTTTCTAATTGTTCGTGACAGGTGCGGCTTCCGGTCATTGTACGCCCAAGCCGGCTTAAGAAAAATCGAAACCTTAACGACATTCACGTGAGAGTTTCTCAGAAAAATTCAATCAAAACGTCTCCTTTTGTGTTTTATGGACGAAATCATCTGAATTATTCACGCTTTTGTTAACCATTTTTGATTATAATTGGTTCGTTAAGGTAATTTAATTGGGGGCATCATCTGTGATAACAGTTAAATCTTTCTCGTTTGATTTATTATGAATGTAGCAAATGGTACTTTCGAAGCGCTCTCTTGCTTTCTTTGACCCCAAAAATAGCTTCGTTCTTCTGCATTGCAGATAGCAGACGCCGGTCAGGGTACCCTCATCGTCTGCATGGGTTAAAAATAACAGGACATTCTATCTATTCTTAGTGCGGAAGACACGTTTTAATGCTTTTAGTCGCTCTTGTTTTACTTTTTTTTTAATTCTTTTAAAAAACAGGAATGGGACTTCCACAGGGGTTAAAAGTTATCGTTCGTTTCGTTTAATTTGTTCTCTTATTATTGTTTAATTTAATTAAGTGCGGATGAGTCACGCTGCAGAATATGTTATTGAGCGGTTTTCTGGCTTTGGTAGGGGTTTGTGATATCACGTCCATATACGGAGTCTATGAGGTCATCGCCGAGACCCACGAAGCCATGTACAATTTATTCAAATAAGGTGCTGTTTGTCTCCTGCGGCCCACATTTACACCCATTACGTCTACGGGTGTTGCGTGAATGGAGTAAAAAATCATTGATTGAAGAAAGTAGGTGGTTGCTGCAGATCCATACAAGGTTGACGAGTTGGAGCTGTTTTTAGCTTATGTCATTTCGTTTAAATAATTTGCTAGTTTGGGTGGGATGGCACCAAGGTTTTGGACAAATAATAGGATTTTTTTGCCTAAATAAGTACACTACAAAGAAAGATTTCGTAACGACTAAATATAGCTACGAAGAAAAATATTCAACATTATTTATGTAGAACGTCCCCGTAAGCAGAATAATTATTGTGTGTGTGCATGTCAGGTTCGGGTGAATTTGGGGTGACGTCATCAACTTTCTGGTGGGGATGAACGATTTATAATGCATGCACTGCAACAATAATAATGTTACGTAATCTTTAATGTAAACTTTAAAATTTGAATAAGTATGCAAATTTATTTTTTTTAGAACAGTCCATACAAGAACAAAAATGGATGATTAAATCACAGGCCAATGCGCAATTTTTTAAAGGGCAAATCGTGGTTAGCGTTTTACCATTGACTGCTGTTTCCGGTGGTTTCATATTGTATAAATTTCTAACAGAAAATAGATAGATAAATCTAAGTAGAAAAATTATAAAATTTCAACAAAAAATTTCATTTTGGAAAATCTATGCATTCAATATAGTTCAAATTTTAAAATTGTAGATACACAAACTCATTTTTAATTTTTATTCACATTTGCAATACACATAATTGTATACAACATTAAAAAATCAGAAATCAAAATTCAGGTCAAAAGAAGCTCAGTTTTGTTGTTTGATTTTTTTTAATTTGTTTTTTTCTAACCTCATTTTCCATCATTTTAAATTTTTTCGCACCCGTTCTCTTTTCTATTAAAATTGTCTAAAATTGTAAAAACTTTCCTAATCATTTTATAAGTGGCATAGTTGACAAAATATTTTCCCAAAGCCACATGGACATGGTTAAATGGTACATTTTTTCTTATAGAAATTTTCCATTTTAAACATGTGTTAAGTTTCATGTTGTAAAAAGAAGTCTACACATATTAAAACATAAAGGCAAAATCTAAGCCCGCCCACCCGCCCTATCTCGATTGTGATGATTTTTTTCTATTCGCCGTGAATCAAGGGGGCGGAGCTTAACTGCAAAATACTTATTTCCTTACAAGAAATTAAAAACATGTTTTTGAGTATTGTATTGTTCAAAGAATACTGTGTATATTATATTTTTCCTTTTTTGTTAATACACGTAGTCCTCTTTTCAGAACAAGAAACTTAAAACATGCTTAAAATGTTAAATTCTTGTAGACAAATATGGATCTTACAATTAAGTCCCGCCTCTGGATCTGGCAACGAATGTAAAATTTATCACAGTTAAGAATCGAGATTGAGGTTGGGTGGGGCCTAATCTTTGGTTTATTTTTTTCTTAATATACATAGTACTCTTTGAACAACACGATACCGAAGAACATGTTATTAATTTCTTGTAGAGATTTAAGGATTTTGCTGTTAAGCTCCGCCCCCTCGGCTTACGACGAATAAAAAAAATCATCAGAAATGAGATAGGGCGGGTGGGCGGGTTTTATATTTTGCCCTTTTTCCTTAATATACATAGCCATCTTTTTACAACAAGAAACTTAAAACATGGTTAAAGTGGTACATTTTTGTCTGGAAATACGGATTTCGCAATTATGGTGCGTAGCCCAATTGCAAAATGGATATTTCCTTATACAAATTTTTAAATTATGATTTAAGATTCATGGTATGAAAAGAAGTCTATATATATTAAAACATAAAGGCAAAATCTAAGCCCGCCCACCCGCCCTATCTCGATTGTGATGATTTTTTTCTATTCGCCGTGAATCAAGGGGGTGGAGCTTAACTGCAAAACACTTATTTCTTTACAAGGAATGAAAAACATGTTTTTGAGTAGCGTGTTGTTCGAAGAATACTGTGTATATTAAGAAAAAAAAAGGCAAAATATAAAACCCGCCCACCCACCCTGTCTAAATTGTGATGATTTTTTTTTCTTATATTGTATAAGGAAATATCGATTTTGAAATTAGGCCAATAAGTAGAGATTTAGAGATGGCTTCCATAAAATTTTTCTTAATCACTTATATGAGATTAAACTGTTCAAAAAATGAATGCGAGCGTAGCGAGCATGTTCAGGTGTTATTAAAAATAATTCATTGTTTTCTACGAGAAGCTAAATTATTAAGAGAAAAATGTATTCACGCATAGGAAAAAATGACTCTTAAAAACAATTTTAATGTGATTATAAAGACCTGAACGTGCTCGCTGCGCTCGCATTTTGGGTGGGTTCTTTAAAATCTAGAGATTTATGATTAGAATGGAACCCAAACAACTTCGCTAAGGCAGAGTTCAGATTTAATTAAAAAACCGGTCAAAAGTTGTATAATTTTCAGGAAAATGTGATTGTGTTGATTTGATCAATGAAATTGTTTGGGTTCATTTTTTTTTGAGTGACCCTGTATAAGTAATTATAAAAACTATAAATGCTTTAATAAAGCAAAAGTCTGGTGACAATAATATTTTTCTTATTTTAGATAGTATTTATTGACAAACTTTTGAGATATATGTCGTCATAATTTTTTGGGAGGGGATAAACTGATAAATTTTGATGAGCAATTTATTGGGCTTACAATAACTCTTTGCATTATCGAAAAAAATGAGGACATATTTTCCAGAAATTTTCCGGAGAATTTTCAAATCTGGTTCTAGTCAACTAGAACATGAATTTTCAAAAAACCAAAGGAGGAGATATTTTCCAACAATTTTCCGGAAAATTTTCAGCTGTGGCCCTAGCCGACCCAAAAATGATAACAGAAAATTTTCCAAATTGACCCAGATGACAGACAGACGGAAAAGGAAGACCACTTTTTCGTACTCTTGGGGTCAAGAAACGTCGAGAAAACAGAATAATAGCAATTTACTAAATGGACTCGATTACAATCCTTCCTTAGCTTACTTTCGGGAGTAAAACTTGTGCTTATTAATTAATTAGATATTGGAGCATCTTGTGACAAATGCGCTGTAGACCAAATATAAACAAGTGTGTTTTATAACAACATATAGTGTCATAAAAAAATAGATGAAACTAGATTACATTAAACGATTTTGCAAATAATAAAATATGAAACATAAATATTTTTACCAACGAAGGTGCTATATTAAGAAAAAAAGGCAAAATATAAAACCCGCCCACCCACCCTGTCTAAATTGTGACGATTTTTTTCTTAGAAACTTAAAACACATTTAAAATGGTACATTTTTGTAAGGAAATATAGGCCAACGAATGAAAACTTCATTACTATTTAGATCAGGGCAGATGTGAGTGGAGCTTAATCTTTGGCTATAATTTTTTCTTAATATATGTACATAGTATTCTTTGAATAACATGATACTCAAAAACATTTCTTACATGGTAATTCCTTGTAGAGAAATAATAAGGATTTTGCAGTTAAATTTCGTTCCTTTGGTTCTCGACGATTAAAAAAAACACACAATTGAGATTGGGCGGGTGGGCGGGGCTTATATTTTGCCTTTTTTCTTAATATACTAGGCGTCTTTTCAGAACAAGAAGCTTAAAATATGTTTAAAATAGTAAATAGTAGACAAATATAGTACTTGCAATTAAATCCCGCCCCTCGATTTGACAACGAATGAAAAATTCATCACTATTGAGATAGGGCGGGTGGGGGTCTTACATTTTGCCTCTTTGTTTTAATATATGTAGACTTCTTTTCACAACATGAAATTTAAAACATCTAACCTCTTTTTAATTTGTTTCTCCCTAAAAAATCACTAGCCCACGTTGCCACCCATATTTTTGTATGAAATTGTGTTGTTGGTGGACTTTAAAAAAAAAATTGTATGATACGTTAAAAAATCAGGAACCCAAAATGTAAGCCCGCCCACCCGCCCTCTCTCAATTGTGATGATTGTAACTGCAAAATATTTATTTCTTTACATGAAATTAAAAACATGTTTTTAAGAATCGTGTTGTTCAAAGAACACTATGTATATTAAGAAAAAAAAGACAAAATATAAACCCCGCCCACCCACCCCTTCTTCATTGTGATGATTTTTTCTATTCTTACAAACTTAAAACACGTTCAAAATGGTACATTTTTGTAAGGAAATATGGATTTTGCAATTAGGCTCCGCCCCTAGGTCTGCCAACGAATGAAAACTTCATTACTACTTAGATCAGGGCAGGTACGGGTGGGGCTTAATCTTTGCTTTTAATTTTTTCTTAATGTATACAGTACTATTTGAATAACACGATACTCAAAAACATGTCTTAGATGGTAATTTCTTGTAGAGAAATAATAAGGATTTTGTAATAAACATCCGATCCTTTGGCTCTGGACGATTAAAAAAAATCATCATGAGATAGGGCGGGTGGGCGGGGCTTATATTTTACCTTTTTATTATTATTATTCGTAGTCGTCCTTTCAGAACAAGAAACTTAAAGCATGCTTAAAATGGTAAATTCTTGTAGACAAAAATGGATCTTACAGTTAAGCCCCGCCTCTCGATCTGACAACTAATGAAAAATTCATTCACAATTGTGAAGTGAAACCTACGCTGAGGTATGGGTGTGGCTTAATCATTGGCTTTAATTTTTGTTTAATATATATAATATTCTTTGAACAACCCAAAAACATGTTTTTAATTTCTCGTAGAGAAATAAGGATTTTGCAGTTAAGCTCCGCCTTCTTGATTCACGATGAATAAAAAAAAATCATCACAATTGAGATAGGGTGGGTGGGCGGGCGGAGTTACATTTTGCCTTTTTTTCGTAATATATGTAATTTATTTCAAAGAAACTTAAAAATGTCTAAAAGGGTAATTTTTTTATGTAGGAATTAATTTAAATCCTCCACTTTTCTTCTACATACAACCTCTTTAAATACGGCAAAAGTTGAACATCACCTTCTATTTTCTTAAAGGGATCTCATTTGCCAAAATCAGTCTTACCTTAGCACGTGCTAAGATAGGACTGACTTTAGCAGATGACATACCTTCCAAGAAAAGAGAGGGCGGGTGGGCGGGGCTTGTACTTGCTAAGATACGAATGACTTTGGCAAATGACATACCTTCCAAGAAAATAGAGGGTGGGTGGGCGGGGCTAGTACTTGCTAAGATACGAATGACTTTGGCAAATGACATACCTTCCAAGAAAATAGAGGGTGGGTAGGCGGTGCTAGTACTTGCTGCAACATTTTTATTTCTTTACAAAAAATGAAAAATATGTTTTTGAGTATCGTGTTGTTCAAAGAATACTATGTATGTATATTAAGAATAAAAGGCAAAATATAAAGCCCGACTACCCACCCTGTCGAAATTGTGATGATTTTTTTATTTCTTAGAAACTTAAAACACGTTTAAAATGGTAGTGATTGAAAAGAAAATCGGCTGGGTGGGTGGGGCCACTTCGAAGTTTTTTCTGTTTTAATATTAATATAAAATCTACTTTTCGTCCAATAAAAAAGCCAATGAAATTCAAACGTGGAAGTGGGTGGGATTAGTTTTACCTTTTTCGTTTGGATTTCACTATTTAGCAATATAAAATGATATGAATTTTCTAAGAAATGAAACCGAAAACAAAGTCTAGAAATAGTAATCCACAGAAAAATTTTTTTGAGTAATTTTTAAAGGTCGTTGAAAAAAAGTTGGAAGTTTCTTAAAGAAAGAGTATTAAAAATTTGTTTAAAATTCCAAAAAGATTTCTAATACATATAAATCTAGATTTCAACAATTAACCTGTATAGACCAAGTTATTTTTTTTAAATCCTAAAAACTGACATACTAAAACTGGGCAGTTCTGAAAAAGTGGTAGGAATTTTCGAAGAAACGAAAACGAGAATAAATTTTAGAAATTGTAATCAACAGTAATTTTTGCAGGTGGCCAAATTTTATTTCTGATTTAGAACATTTCACAGTATTGTTCATTGTTTGCTAATTTTGATGTTGTTGTCCAGAAGAATTTTTTTCTTGGATGATTCCAGTGATTCTTTTTTCTTACACCATCTGCTGTAGGCGTACGACGCAATTCCCACAGCCCCAATACCAGCAGTGAAAAATGCCCATGCACCAAACTATAACATTATTATAAAAAGTTAATAAGACGCTATTCGATCCTGGTAAGTTATACAAAAGTGCTGCAGATTTGCCACTTCTTAGTAATAGTAAACGTCTTTAAAGTTTGATTAATATGGCTAATGTGTCATCTATCGGAATAATTTCGTTGCACACTCTGAAAGAGGCGGAACAAATCAGTGCACTCTTGGATTATGAAACATTTATGCAAAAAAAAAACGTAAACATAATATTGTTCTTACTCTAGGCAACACTCCACTAACGTAACAATTCATTTTTAATTAAAGAAAATAAATGTAAAATGTACATGTAAAACTGTGCCAACTTTATAACGCGGCAGATAACTATTACGTAGAAAGGGTAGTGGGACAGGAAATTTATAAGAGGGAGGAGGGTGAAGAACTTGCTCGGTGGATGTTGGAATGTTGACCTTGAAAACTTGAATTGTGTAACAATATAACCCCCTTTTTGAACACACATTAAAGAAATGGCTTGTAACTATATTATAAACGTTTCAAACTTATATGAAAATTTTAAATACTTGTCTTTTTAAAAATGTAAAAAAGAAGATAAAGGCCGATTTTTATGTTTGTGTTCTACGTTAAAGTACCATAGTGATCATAAGTAGGTCCTTCAATGAAAAGTATCACGAAGATAGTAAAACTTTAAACAAAAATGTTTGTTTATCGCTTCCAAAAAAAATCGATGATATCATAACCCTAGAACGTATAGTAATGTTTGATAATCACTAGTCAAAAAAAACATCAAGTTGGATGTTAGTTTTAAGCCCCAATATTGCATATTTCAAGGAAACCGATAAAAACTGCTTTGACTATTGATCTGCTCAGCATTATTATTATTATTATTGGAGTGTGATTGTGCCAAAACGACGCAAAAACATTTGATTCGTGTGCATGTGTGCTGCTCTCTGTAGTCAATTTTGTAAATTAATACAATGTTGTCGAAAGGTTTTTGTAATTGTGGTATCCTGGTATCGATTTGTTGGGAAAACAAAAAATAAATTAAAAATTGTGATAATAATAGCAACAGTTATTTAGATATATTTTTATAACTGTTTACATTAATCTATGAAGAAATTTTTTATCATTTATTTAGTTTGAACTACGCCCTACAACAGCGTTGCCAATATTACAGTCGAAAATCACTAGACTTTGTGGAATTTGACGTCATCTGACATAAACAAGTGTTTCTTTAATGTGTCATTAACCAAAAATTTATTCATTCGGTGGTTTTAAGTGTGGACAGTGGTTGTGCTGCCTGAATTTAATCATGGTTAAAGGAATAGTGGAATTTCTTAATTACTGGTACTTCCGATACCTGTTAGTTACCGAATTATACATGGTGGAGAAATGGGAAAGAGTCATGTTTCGTATCCTTTGACAATATTTTATACTCTGTAATCACGTAGTAAATTAAGTGTTTGCGTGGTAAATAGTTTCAGTATTTATCACTGATCATAAAACTTGGTATGCGTATGGTAAACCTTAACAACGCTTTTAGACATTGTCCTACTTATAATATTATCAATTCTATCGTTATTCAACACTACTGTGGTTGTTAGTTTAGTTTCGGCAATAACGCAGTCGCTTTTTATACAAAGCGATTTACAAGAAGGCATTCCAGAAGTCCGTGGGGAACTCTAGCACGCGAAGAGGCAATAATATTAATTAATTTTATTTAAGATAGTTATTAGATGTATTTATATTATACAAAACTCCATACGTGTTTAAAAATAAATTAACATTCACTGGAATCGTTGAAACTTTCACTCAAACTCAGTTTTTATCGCTTCAATCTTCTCATGCATGTGTGTTTTTCTATGCGCCGATAAGGAACTGCTGTGTGCAAACGCCTTATGACAAATTTTACACGCGTTTAGTTTTTCTCCAGTGTGGATACTCTTGTGAAAATTTAAAATCTTGGCATTGATGAACTGCTTGTTACATACTGTGCAAGTGTGACTTTTCTCCCCTTAAACATTGTAAATAAAATTATAGTTTTTGATTTTAGTTATTTTGTTACCTGTGTGCGTTTTCAAGTGTGCAGTTAAATGCGACGACATCCTGTACCGCTTTGAACACACACTACAAGCGTACGGCCTCTCCCCTGTGTGCACCCTCATGTGAATCCCTAGATCCCCGGACCTGGCAACCCTTTTCCCACACACATTACAAATAAACCTTTTCTCTCCAGTGTGGACCATCATGTGTGCTGACAGTGTAGAACTTGAGCTAAAAGACTTGCAACACTCTTGACAAGTGTAAGGTCTCTCTCCAGTGTGAGACCTCATGTGGATGATCAGATTGTGGCTATAAACAAAAGTTTTGCCACACGTGGAACAAATGTAGGGTCTTTCAGAAGTGTGGGTTCTCATGTGAGTAGACAACACCGACGAATGGGCGAATTTTTTGCCACAGATTTTGCAATTGTAGGGTTTTTTGCCAGTGTGGACTTTCATGTGGCTGCTTAAACCTCTGGGGTCTGCAAAGGCCTTGGAACAAACGGAACACACAAGCGGTTTTTCCCCGGTGTGGACTCTCATGTGGATTGTTAGGTCAGTGCTGCCATAAAAGGACTTTCCGCAAGTTTGGCAAACGTGGGATTTTTGTAACCTAAAGAGAAAGTTGGATTTTGTGTGGATATTTTGATTTTGGGTCTTACTTATGGGCTCTGGTGTGTCTTTTTAGTAGTTTGACGTCTGTGAATGTTTTTTTGCATTTGTCGCAGCTGTGGATTTTCTCTTCTTGGTGACAGGTTTGAAAATGTTCAGTTTCTTGGTTTTTATGTATGAATAGACCACATAATTCACACTGAATATCTAGAAATAGAGAAAATTATTTTGACTGTGACGCCTTCACAAGTCGCAAATAGTTTTTCTAAAGATTTTATATAATAAATGTTTGTCTAGTAATAATAAAAAGTAGATGTGTGACGCCAGAGTTTGTCAACTTAATGGACTTACTAAACAACTTGACAACCATTAAAATGTGTACTGATGAGACGCAGGAATGGTGAACGAGGTAAAGATAACATAAACAACAATAGCAAGTATAAAAAATTTATGATCTATTATTATTATTAAAATAAAAATCAAGTGTATCATTGTCATGATCTTCCATTTTAAGATCTACCTCTTCATGTAACTCTTCTTTCCAGACACTGGACGATGGGCCAGGGACAGATACAGGATCTTCAATTTTTTCTTGTCCTTCTAAGGAAGTCCCCACACAAGCTTCTGCGACCGTAGTGGCGTTCCATCCTTTCAGCTTTTTTGAATTACGCGTGTCTCCGCCACCGTTCGTACGCAATGTTGCTGCTGTACGCCGAAAACAGTGGCCCGTGTATGTATTTACGTTGCTCAGTTGTAAATAAGTTGCGATTTTTTTAGGAAATTGGGCAATCGAATTATGACCGTATGGCTGTTTTGTCAACTTGCCATGTCTTAATTGTAAGAAGAATCGGTCACCTTCAACACTTTTGCGTAGCCTAACGTACCATTTTAGAATCTCTACCCATTTGATATTAGTTACGAGGAATGATCTCGGTTGGTAAGACTGTGTCCTTGGAATCACAACAATTGCTCTGTGTTCTTGTAAATCTACGTCAGCGGTTTTCATTTTAAATAGTTCGTCACTTCGGCATGCACCTGAGACGCCAATAACCAAAGCGGCCTAAAACATAAAAACTGTAATACAAGTCAAAAATTGATACCTATTCATACCTTAAGTGGAAGGAAGTGGAAAGGCGCGTTTTTTAAAAAGTTGTCAACATTTTCTTTGGTAAATGTACTCGATTTAGTAGGCTGATATCCCAGATTTTCTTTTTTTAAATATGCTATTAGTTTGGAATATTTCGAAATGTCGACGTTGTCTTTAGAATTCACGGTGCTTCTCAACATCGAATAATGGGCCCACATTGTGGATGGTTTTTTAGTCTTGGCCACGTCGTCAAAATAAGCCAGTATAACGCTCTCCGAAGTGAAGTTTTCGGCCCCCTTTTTAGAGCACCAGTCGCGAAAATATTTGTACGTTTTTTCGTAACGCAACTTGCTTTTTTCGGGCAAGAGATTGAGGGGGACTTTTTCTGCAGATTCCCGCAATTCTGGAGAAGATAATTCTATTTCACTATAGCAAATTTAGTGACTTTTGCTAACTAATTTAATAAAATGTCAATCGTGCAGCGCCTACTAGGTGTTAATATTTTACCGAAATAAAGTTTAATTCAGAGTGCGATCTTTATATAGTAAAGTAGGCTTTAATATTGTTTCTTTAAGTTGGATAAACTGATTTGATGATTTAGTTCTTTGTCTGTCAGTAGTCTGATTGACATTTGCTTTGAGCTGGATTGCGACTTTTCTACTTTTAGTAATCTTAGAAAAGTGAAAAAAGAAGTTGGAAGATATCGAAATAGGCTGTTCACAAAGGTCGAAATTTCCATTAACTTGGTCATTGTTACTGAAAACTGAAAGAATCGGCAACAATGTTTATATTTCTGGCACATTTTTTAACCTTTAATTTAATAAAACATAACCTAATGAAAAACGTTCAGGGAATGTTTATTCTTCTGCATCGAATACCAACCAGAGAACATAGAGGAGCGTCATAGTTTAAATTAAGTGATGGTTAAGGACTCCTCGACTTATGTTGGCAGCAGTGTCTGTTTCTTGGCTCAGGCCAATGTCGACTCTAAGCGTTCGGAAACGATTTGATTTATAAGCCATAGTCCGTGATCTGTTACACATCCTAACCGGTTTCGACCATAATTTCTTGCTGTTTCAACTTTCGAATTCTCAGTTTACTCCTATTTTTTATTCGATTTTTGGATTTTACAATTTCTCAATTTTTCAATTTCTCGGTTTTCAGTTTTTCTCTTCAATTTTACGATTTTTAAATATTTCGATTTTTTAATTTTTGACTTTGATAAACTCTTTATTTGTCGATTTTTCGGGTTTTTTGGTTTTTCAATTTTTTCAGGTTTCGATTTTTCAAGTTCACTTTTTTGATTTTTCGATTTCTCAATTTTTCAATTTTTTAATTTGTCAGTTTTTGGACATTTCAGTTTTGGGATTTTTCAATTTTTCGATATTCCAGTTTTGGGATTTTTCAATATTTCTGTTCTTCAACTTTTCCATTTTTGACTTTTGGATTTTTCGATGTGTCCACTTTTTACTTTTTCAATATTTCTTAATCTATCAATTTTTCGACTTCCCGGTTTTAGATTTTCTGTTTTTCAATTGTCGTTTTTTCAAATTTAACACTTATAAATTGTCAATTTTTCGATTTTTCAATTAATCGATGCTTTGATTTGCATTTGCATGCATTTCTTGAGGTTTTTTTCAGGTTTCGATTTTTCGACTTCACTTTGTGGATTTTTTCGATTGCTTAATTTTTCGACTTTTTAGGTTCTCAATTTTTGGATATTTCAGTTTTGAGATTTTTCAGGTTTTCCATTTTTCACTTTTTCTTTCATTTTTCAGTTTTTCGATATTTCAGTTTTGGGATTTTGCAATATTTCGATTCTTCGACTTCTCGATTTTTGGCTTCTGGAGTTTTCGATGTGTCGATTTTTTTACTTTTTCGATTTTTCAATTTTTCGATTGCTTAAACTTTCGATTTTTCGACTTCCCGGTTTTAGATGTTCTGTTTTCTATTGTCGTTTTAAATTTTTCGATTTTTCAATGTTTTGATTTCCCGATTTAGTTTCCCACTTTTAGTTTTTCTTTCATTTTTCAGTTTTTCGATATTTCAGTTTTAGGATTTTTCAATATTCGATTTTTGACTCCTGGATTTTTCGATGTGTCGATTTTTTTACTTTTTCGATTTTTCAATTTTTTGATTTTTAAATTTTAGATTTTTTAATTTTTAAAATTTTAGATTTTTCGATTTTTCATTTCAGTTCTTCGATACTTCAATTTTTCAAGTTTTCGAATTTTTCAAATGTTTCGATTTCTTAATCTTTTGATTTTTCGACTTGTCAAATTTTCGATTTTTCAATTAATCGATGTTTTTATTTTCCCATTTCTTGACCTTCGAGTGTTTCGATTTTCCTGTTCTTCAATTCTTTAATTTTTTGATTTTTCAGGTTTTTGATTTTTCAATTTTTCGATTTTTTAAGGTTTCTATTTTATGACTTTACTTTTTTGATTTTTCGATTTTTCAGTTTTTAGCGCGGTGGTTTTTAGATATTCCAGTTTTATTATTATTTATTTATTATTTTATTTCAATTCTTCGGCTTTTCTATTTTTGACTTCTGGATTTTTCGAGTGTCTACCTTTTTACATTTTCGATTTTTCAATTTTTGGATTTTTAAATTTTAGATTTATTTTTCGACTTATGTTTAATTTTTCAATATTTCTTAATCTTTCTAATTTTCGACTTTCTGGTTTTAGATGTCCTGTTATTCAATTTTTCGATTTGTTAATTTTTCATTCCCGATTTATCGAGGTTTGATTGTTCAGGTTTCCGATTTATCCGTTTTTCAATTTTTTACTTTGGCCTATTTCGGTTTCTCAGTTTTTCCAGTTTTCCACTTTTCGTTTTCTTATTTTTCCGCTTTTCCAATTTTTCAACTTTTAATTTTTTGTTTGTCGATTTCTCTATTTTTCGATTTTTCGACTTCATCACTTTTCGATTTTTCGTTCTTTTGACTTTTAATCTCTCAATTTTTCAATTTTTCGAATTTTTAAGTTTTTTTGATTTCTCGATTTATCGAGATTTGTATTTTTAGATATTTTGATTGTCAATTTCTCTATTTATAAATTGTTCAATTTTTAAGTTTTCGATTTTTCGATTTTGGCCTACTTCGGTTTCTCAATTGTTTTTTTTCGACTCCACGATTGATTTTTTGATTTTTCGGTTTTTAAATTTTAGATTTTTGAATTTTACATTTTTTCGATTTTCTGATGTTTTATTTTTCGATTTTCAGTTCTTCGATATTTCGATTTTTCAATGTTTCGGTTTCACGATTTTTTAATGTTTCGATTTTCCGATTATTAGATTTCGCGATTTTTCGATTATTTTAATTTTTCATTTTTTTTCTCACTGTTAATATCATACAGTGTCTCGAAAACGACCACAAAAATTGTCACTAAAAATATTTAAAAATTCATACAAAATAGAACACAGTGTTTCCAAAACATTTTCCCGAAAAAAATTTTCATTTCAGTTTTTCGATATTTCAATTTTTCAAGTTTTCGAATTTTTCAAATGTTTCGATTTCTTAATCTTTTGATTTTTCGACTTCTCCGTTTTAGATTTTCTGTTTTTCAATTGTCATTTTATCGAATTTTCGATTTTTTAATTTTTCAATTTTGACTTAAACTCTCAATTTTTCGATTTTTCGATTAATCGATGTTTTTATTTTCCCATTTCTTGACCTTCGAGTGTTTCGATTTTCCTGTTCTTCAATTCTTTAATTTTTTGATTTTTCAGGTTTTTGATTTTTCAATTTTTCGATTTTTTAAGGTTTCTATTTTTCGACTTTACTTATTTGGTTTTTCGATTTTTCAGTTTTTAGATATTCCAGTTTTAGGGTTTTTCAATATTTCAATTCTTCGGATTTTCTATTTTTGACTTCTGGATTTTTCGAGTGTCTACCTTTTTACTTTTTCGATTTTTCAATTTTTGGATTTTTAAATTTTAGATTTATTTTTCGACTTGTGTTTAATTTTTCAATATTTCTTAATCTTGCGATTTTTCGACTTCCTGGTTTTAGATGTTCTGTTTTTCAATTTTTCGATTTGTTAATTTTTCATTCCCGATTTATCCAGATCTGATTGTTCAGGTTTTCGATTTATCAGTTTTTCAATTTTTTACTTTGGCCTATTTCGGTTTCTCAGTTTTTCCAGTTTTCCATTTTTCGTATTTTGATTTTTCCGCTTTTCCAATTTTTCAACTTTTAACTTTTTTTGGATTTTACAATTTCTCGGTTTTCAGTTTTTCTCTTCAATTTTACGATTTTTAAATATTTCGATTTTTCAATTTTTGACTTTAATAAACTCTTTATTTGTTGATTTTTCCGGTTTTTTGGTTTTTCAATTTTTCTATTTTTTCAGGTTTCGATTTTTCAACTTCACTTTTTTGATTTTTCGATTTCTTAATTTTTCAATTTTTTAATTTCTCAGTTTTTGGACATTTCAGTTTTGGGATTTTTCAGTTTTTCGATATTCCAGTTTTGGGATTTTTCGATGTGACGACTTTTTACTTTTTCGATTTTTAAATTCTAGATTTCTCAATTTTTTGGTATTTTTATTTTTCAATATTTCTTAATCTTTCAATTTTTCGACTTCCCGGTTTTAGATTCTCTGTTTTCCAAGTGTCGTTTTTTCAATTTTTCGATTTTTAAATTTTAGATTTTTCGATTTCTCGATTTTTCATTTTAGTTCTTTTCTTCGATATTTCAGTTTTCCAAGTTTTCGCATTTTTCAAATGTTTTGATTTGTTAATCTATCAACTTTTCGACTTCCCGGTTTTAGATTTTCTGTTTTTCAATTGTCGTTTTTTCAAATTTTCGATTTTTCATTTCAGTTCTTCGATACTTCAAGTTTTCGAATTTTTCAAATGTTTCGATTTCTTAATCTTTTGATTTTTCGACTTCTCGGTTTTAGATTTTCTGTTTTTCAATTGTCGTTTTGTCAAATTTTCGATTTTTCAATTAATCGATGTTTTTATTTTCCCATTTCTTGTCCTTCGAGTGTTTCGATTTTCCTGTTCTTCAATTCTTTGATTTTTCAATTTTTCGATTTTTTAAGATTTCTATTTTTTGACTTTACTTTTTTGATTTTTCGATTTTTCAGTTTTTAGATATTCCAGTTTTAGGATTTTTCAATATTTTAATTCTTCGGCTTTTCTATTTTTGACTTCTGGATTTTTCGAGCGTCTACCTTTTTACTTTCTCGATTTTTAAATTTTTGGATTTTTAAATTTTAGATTTATTTTTCGACTTATGTTTAATTTTTCAATATTTCTTAATCTTCCGGTTTTTCGACTTCCTGGTTTTAGATGTTCTGTTTTTCAATTTTTCGATTTGTTAATTTTTCATTCCCGATTTATCCAGATCTGATTGTTCAGGTTTTCGATTTATCAGTTTTTCAATTTTTTACTTTGGCCTATTTCGGTTTCTCAGTTTTTCCAGTTTTCCACTTTTCGTTTTCTTATTTTTCCGCTTTTCCAATTTTTCAACTTTTAATTTTTTTGTTTGTCGATTTCTCTATTTTTCGATTTTTCGACTTCATCACTTTTCGATTTTTCGTTCTTTTGACTTTTAATCTCTCAATTTTTCAATTTTTCGAATTTTTAAGTTTTTTTGATTTCTCGATTTATCGAGATTTGTATTTTTAGATATTTTGATTGTCAATTTCTCTATTTATAAATTGTTCAATTTTTAAGTTTTCGATTTTTCGATTTTGGCCTACTTCGGTTTCTCAATTGTTTTTTTTTCGACTCCACGATTGATTTTTTGATTTTTCGGTTTTTAAATTTTAGATTTTTTAATTTTACATTTTTTCGATTTTCTGATGTTTCATTTTTCGATTTTCAGTTCTTCGATATTTCGATTTTTCAATGTTTCGGTTTCACGATTTTTTAATGTTTCGATTTTCCGATTATTAGATTTCTCGATTTTTCGATTATTTTAATTTTTCATTTTTTTTCTCACTGTTAATATCATACAGTGTCTCGAAAACGACCACAAAAATTGTCACTAAAAATATTTAAAAATTCATACAAAATAGAACACAGTGTTTCCAAAACATTTTCCCGAAAAAAATTTTCATTTCAGTTTTTCGATATTTCAATTTTTCAAGTTTTCGAATTTTTCAAATGTTTCGATTTCTTAATCTTTTGATTTTTCGACTTCTCCGTTTTACATTTTCTGTTTTTCAATTGTCATTTTATCGAATTTTCGATTTTTTAATTTTTCAATTTTGACTTAAACTCTCAATTTTTCGATTTTTCGATTAATCGATGTTTTTATTTTCCCATTTCTTGACCTTCGAGTGTTTCGATTTTTCTGTTCTTCAATTCTTTAATTTTTTGATTTTTCAGCTTTTTGATTTTTCAATTTTTCGATTTTTTAAGGTTTCTATTTTTCGACTTTACTTATTTGGTTTTTCGATTTTTCAGTTTTTAGATATTCCAGTTTTAGGATTTTTCAATATTTCAATTCTTCGGATTTTCTATTTTTGACTTCTGGATTTTTCGAGTGTCTACCTTTTTACTTTTTCGATTTTTCAATTTTTGGATTTTTAAATTTTAGATTTATTTTTCGACTTGTGTTTAATTTTTCAATATTTCTTAATCTTGCGATTTTTCGACTTCCTGGTTTTAGATGTTCTGTTTTTCAATTTTTCGATTTGTTAATTTTTCATTCCCGATTTATCGAGATTTGATTGTTCAGGTTTTCGATTTCTCTATTTTCGACTTCATCACTTTTCGATTTTTCGTTTTTTTGATCTTTTGATCTTTCAATTTTTCAAATTTTTAAGTTTTTTTGATTTCTCGATTTATCGAGATTTAAATTTTTCGATATTATGATTGTCAATTTATCAATTTATAAACTGTTCAATTATTAACTTTTCGATTTTTCGATTTTGGCCTACTTCGGTTTCTCGATTGTTTTTTTTTCGACTCCACGATTTCTTGATCTTTTGATTTTTCGATTTTTCAGTTATCCGATTTTTTAAATTTAGGAGTTTCGATTTCTCGATTTTTCATTATTCGGTTTTTAAGTTTTAATTTTTGAATTTTACATTTTTTCGATTTTCTGATGTTTCATTTTTCGATTATTTTAATTTTTCATTTTTTTTCTCACTGTTAATATCATACAGTGTCTCGAAAACGACCACAAAAATTGTCACTAAAAACATTTAAAAATTCATACAAAATAGAACAGTGTTTCCAAAACATTTTCCCGAAAAAATCCATTGGGTTATTACGATTTCAACAATATTAAGACGTTTTGCTAGTATAAAATATAACTAAAGAATTTATTTTTAGTTAAACAAAAAATAGTATGAGTCTGAACACTTAGAGTCGACATTCGCCTGAGCGCGCTCTGGTCTGTAGATCAAACAAGTTCTCAGGCGACGAGTTGTAGTGAAACAAGTTTTTTATTGGCATCTACTATTCAACAAACTCACTAGATTTTCATGGCCAACCCTACTATATAAAGATCGTGAACGGATAATAATAAATGATAAATAGTTTCATAGCTCACTACATTTAAAGTATTTTATTAACCAAAGGAAGACTTCATGCAATTTTTTTCCCTAGTAGAAACCGCAATTGATTCAATTTTTTTTACGCAAAATGATTTTGTATTGATTTTTAAACAAACCTAACCTAAATCTTCAGGATAAAGAAAACAGTCTACATTAAACGTATCATTGTCATGGTCTTCCATTTTAAGATCTACCTCTTCATGCAACTGTTCTTTCGAGACATGAGACTGCGGAGAGCTGGACGATGGGTCAGGGACAGTTACGCTGGGCACATTTACAGGATCTTCTACTTGACCATCTAAGGAAGTACCCACACGAGTTTCTGCGACCGTGGTGGCGTTCCATCTTCCTACTTTTTTAAAATGACGCGTACCTCCGCTATCGTTCGCACGTAATCTTGCTGCTGTGCGCCGAAAACAGTAGCCAGTGTATGTATTTGCGTTGCTCAGTTGTAAATAAGTTGCGATTTTTTTAGGAAATTGGGAAATCGAATTATGACCGTATGGCTGTTTTGTCAGCTTGCCATGTCTTAATTGTAAGAAGAATCGGTCACCCTCGACATTCTTGCGTAGATTAACGTACGATTTTAAAATTTCTAACCATGCGATATTAGTTATGAGGAATGATCGTGGTTGGTAAGACTGTGTGCTTGGAATTACAATAACTGCTCTGTGTTCTTCTAGATCTACGTCAGCGGTTTTCATTTTAAACAGTTCGTCGCTTCGGCATGCACCTGATATGCCAATAACCAAAGCGGCCTAAAATACTAAAATTGTAATACAAGTCAAAAATTGATACCTATTCATACCTTAAGTGGAAGGAAGTGGAATGGGGCGTTTTTTAAAAAGTTCTCAACGTTGTCTTTCGTAAATGTACTCGATTTAGTCGGCTGATACCCTAGATTTTGTTTTTTTAAAAATGCTATTAATTTGGCATATTTCGAAATGTCAACGTTGTGTTTAAAATTCACGGTACTTCTCAACATCGAATAAAGGGCCCACATTGTGGACGGTTTTTTAGTCTGGGCTACGTCGCCAAAATAAGCCAGTATAACGCTCTCTGAAGTGAAGTTTTCGACCCCTTGTTTAGAGCACCAGTCGCGAAAAGATTCGTACGTTTTTTCGTAACGCAACTTGCTTTTTTCAGGCAAGAGATTGAGGGGTACTTTTTCTGCAGATTCCCGCAATTCTGGAGAAAATATTCTATTTCACTATTGCAAATTTGGGGACTTTTGTTAACTAATTTAATAAAAGTCAATCGTGCAGCGCCTACTAGGTGTTAATATTTCACCGAAATAAACCTTAATCCAGAGTGTTAATAAATGATCAATAATTTCATAGCTCACTACATCTAAAAGTATATTATTAACCAAGGTTGTGAAGACTTTATACCACTTTTTTCACTAGTAGAAACCGTAAGACAATAAATTGAAAAAATGAAACCTCAATTTTTTTACACAAAATGATTTTTTTTTTTAAATTACGCGTGTCTCCGCTATCCGCAATGTTGCTGCTGTGCGCCGAAAACAGTACCCAGTGTGTGTATTTACATTGCTCAGTTGTAAATAAGTTGCGATTTTTTTAATAAATTGGGCAAAATGTGTACATGAGAGCTCAAGCAGGTCGAAACTGTAGTAACACAAATAACAATAGCAAGTATAAAAAATTTATGGATTTTTGGGATATTTTCGATTTTTTGAATTATTGGAATTATTGGATCTATCGAGTTTTTTTAAATTTTTTGAGTTTCTTGGTTTTCTTGGAATTTTTAATTTCTTAGATTTTTTAAAATCTTGGATTTTTTGATCTTTTAAATTTCTTGTATACTTTCGATTGTTCGCATTCTTGGGATTTTTGGACCTTTGAATTTTTTGGATCTTTGGATCATTTCATCTTTTGGATCTTTGGAATTTTTTGGATCTTCTGGATCTTTCAAATTTGTTGAATTTGTTTGATAATTTTTCTTTTTTTCTTTTATTTATGTTCTTATTTTTTGGATTTTTGGGATATTTTAGATTTTTTGGATTGTTGGAATTTTTGGATTTCTTGAGTTTCTTGATTTTCTTGGATTTTTTACTTTCTTGAATTTTTTGGATGCTTCAGTTTTGGAATTTTTCAGTTTTTCGATCCTTCAATAATTTATCTTCCATTTTTCAATTTTCAATTTTTGGACTTTTTCAATATCTCCAATTTTTACTTTTCGAATTTTTCAATTTTTCCATTTTTAGATGTTTCGAATTTTTAATTTCTCGGTTTTAGGTTTTTCGGTTTTTCAGTTTTTCGATTTTTAAAATTTTCGATCTTTCAGTTTTTCGAGTTCAATGTTCCGATGTTTCAATTCCTCGAATTTTAAATTTTTCGATTTTTCCATATTTTAATTTTCCGACTTTTTAAATTTTAAATTTTTCGATTTGTCGATTTTTCAAATTTTCGATTTTTTGAATATTTTCTCTTTTTTGGATTTTTTGGATTTCTTGGATACTTTGAATTCTTTTGGATCTTTGGATCATTGTATCTTTTGGATCTTTACAATTTTTTAAATTTATTTGGTCATTTTGATGTTTTTGTTTTATTTATGTTCTTATTTTTTGAATTTTTTGGATTTTTGGGATATTTTCGATTTTTTGGATTGTTGGAATTTTTGGATTTCTTGAGTTTCTTGATTTTCTTAGATTTTTTAATTTCTTGAATTTTTTGGATGCTTCAGTTTTGGAATTTTTCAATTTTTCGATCCTTCAATAATTTATCTTCCATTTTTCAATTTTCAATTTTTGGACTTTTTCGATATCTCCAATTTTTACTGTTCGAAGTTTTCAATTTTTCCATTTTTTGATGTTTCGAATTTTTGATTTCTCGGTTTTAGGTTTTTCGGTTTTTCATTTTTTCGATTTTTAAAATTTTCGATGTTTCAGTTTTTCGAGTTTTCAATGTACCGATGTTTCAATTCCTCGAATTTTCATCTTTTCGATTTTTCCATATTTTAATTTTCCGATTTTTTAAATTTTAAATTTTTCGATTTGTGGATTTTTCAAATTTTCGATTTTTTGGATTTTTTGAATTCTTCGGATCTAAAAATCCGAAGGGATTCTTTAGATTCTTGGGATTTTTGGACCTTTACATTTTTTTGGATCTTTGGATCATTGTATCTTTTGGATCTTAACATTTTTTTAAATTTATTTGATGTTTCTTTTTGGGATATTTTCGAATTTTTGGTTTGTTGGAATTTTTGGATTTTTTGAGTTTCTTGGTTTTCTTAGACATTTTAATTTCTTGAATTTTTTGGATGCTTCAGTTTTGGAATTTTTCAATTTTTCGATGCTTCAGTAATTTATCTTCCATTTTTTGATGTTTCGAATTTTTGATTTCTCGGTTTATCAGTTTTTCGATTTTTAAAATTTTCGATCTTTCAGTTTTTCGAGTTTTCAATGTTCCGATGTTTCAATTCCTCGAATTTTAAATTTTTCGATTTGTCGATTTTTCATATTTTCGAATTTAAATTTTTCAGTTTTTTAATTTTAGATTTTTCAGTTTTTGTTGTTTCGTCTTGAGTTGAAGAATTAAATTTGTAATTCTGATTTGTTTCAATGAACTGCATATTTAATAGGCAGTTAAATAGCTGTTAGTAATTTAATAATAAGTTGCTAGAATACGATCCAGTGTCATTTTTGACAAATTTTATCGGAATTTTACGGTATCAAATCAGAATTATGAAGTTAATTCTTCAAGGTGCAAGTTTAAATTTTCAAAAAATTAGTTCAGGGATTTTTTAACAATTTTTTCGAGTTCTTCAGAGTCTTCTTAACAACAAACATATCATCGAGCTTCTCCGTCATTTTTGGATCACCTGTTTAGTATCATGAAAGTTGTGGACAGGTTAGCAATTTAGTTATTGAATTTTCCCGCCAAAAAATGGTCTAACACCCGAGCATGGGCAAAACCCACTGAGAAACACGGGGTCAACTGAGGTTAATGTGCCCTAGAATCCCCATCATACAACTACTGTTATGGAGGATGAGCACTTTTTTTCGCTAATTTCTTAAAAACTTAGTGAATATGCAATATTGCCCAATATTTTTCAAATAATAATTTTCTAATATAAAATAAGAAAACCTTGAAAATTACACTTTTAACTTCAATTAAATTAAATTAAATTACAGAATTAAGTCAATTTTCCTGAATTTTGTATTTAGTCCCCACCAAATATAATATGTATAAAATACTGAAAAAAAAGAAAAATTTTGAACCGTGCTTATATTTTATTTTTATTGTTTTCGTTTTTCCAATTTTAGATTTTTTAATTTTTCGTTTGTTCAATTTTTGAGTATAGATTGCAGATTCCCGCAATTCTGGAGAAGATATTCTATTTCACTATTGCAAATTTGGTGACTTTTGTTAACTAATTTAATAAAAGTCAATCGTGCAGCGCCTACTAGGTGTTAATATTTCACCGAAATAAACCTTAATCCAGAGTGTTAATAAATGATCAATAATTTCATAGCTCACTACATCTAAAAAGTATATTATTAACCAAGGTTGTGAAGACTTTATACCACTTTTTTCACTAGTAGAAACCGTAAGACAATAAATTGAAAAAATTAAACCTCAATTTTTTTATACAAAATGATTTTTGTTTTAAATTACGCGTGTCTCCGCTATCCGCAATGTTGCTGCTGTGCGCCGAAAACAGTACCCAGTGTGTGTATTTACATTGCTCAGTTGTAAATAAGTTGCGATTTTTTTAAGTAATTGGGCAAAATGTGTAGATGAGAGCTCAAGCAGGTCGAAACTGTAGTAACACAAACAACAATAGCAAGTATAAAAATTTTATGGATTTTTGGGATATTTTCGATTTTTTGAATTATTGGAATTATTTGATCTATCGAGTTTTTTTAATTTTTTGAGTTTCTTGGTTTTCTTGGAATTTTTAATTTCTTAGATTTTTTAAATTCTTGGATTTTTTGATCTTTTAAATTTCTTGTATACTGTGGATTGTTCGCATTCTTGGGATTTTTGGACCTTTGAATTTTTTGGATCTTTGGATCATTTCATCTTTTGGATCTTTGGAATTTTTTGGATCTTCTGGATCTTTCAAATTTGTTGAATTTGTTTGATAATTTTTCTTTTTTTCTTTTATTTATGTTCTTATTTTTTGGATTTTTGGGATATTTTAGATTTTTTGGATTGTTGGAATTTTTGGATTTCTTGAGTTTCTTGATTTTCTTGGATTTTTTATTTTCTTGAATTTTTTACTTTCTTGAATTTTTTCGATGCTTCAGTTTTGGAATTTTTCAATTTTTCGATCCTTCAATAATTTATCTTCCATTTTTCAATTTTCAATTTTTGGACTTTTTCAATATCTCCAATTTTTACTTTTCGAATTTTTCAATTTTTCCATTTTTTGATGTTTCGAATTTTTGATTTCTCGGTTTTAGGTTTTTCGGTTTTTCAGTTTTTCGATTTTTAAAATTTTCGATCTTTCAGTTTTTCGAGTTCAATGTTCCGATGTTTCAATTCCTCGAATTTTAAATTTTTCGATTTTTCCATATTTTAATTTTCCGACTTTTTAAATTTAAAATTTTTCGATTTGTCGATTTTTCAAATTTTCGATTTTTTGAATATTTTCTCTTTTTTGGATTTTTTGGATTTCTTGGATACTTTGAATTCTTCGGATTCTTTAGATTCTTGGGATTTTTGGACCTTTGAATTTTTTTGGATCTTTGGATCATTGTATCTTTTGGATCTTTACAATTTTTTAAATTTATTTGGTCATTTTGATTTTTTTTTGTTTTATTTATGTTCTTATTTTTTGAATTTTTTGGATTTTTGGGATATTTTCGATTTTTTGGATTGTTGAAATTTTTGGATTTCTTGAGTTTCTTGGTTTTCTTAGATTTTTTAATTTCTTGAATTTTTTGGATGCTTCAGTTTTGGAATTTTTCAATTTTTCGATCCTTCAATAATTTATCTTCCATTTTTCCATTTTCAATTTTTGGACTTTTTCGATATTTCCAATTTTTACTGTTCGAAGTTTTCAATTTTTCCATTTTTTGATGTTTCGAATTTTTGATTTCTCGGTTTTAGGTTTTTCGGTTTTTCAGTTTTTCGATTTTTAAAATTTTCGATGTTTCAGTTTTTCGAGTTTTCAATGTACCGATGTTTCAATTCCTCGGATTTTCATCTTTTCGATTTTTCCATATTTTAATTTTCCGATTTTTTAAATTTAAAATTTTTCGATTTGTGGATTTTTCAAATTTTCGATTTTTTGGATATTTTCTCTTTTTTGGATTTTTTGGATTCTTCGGATCTAAAAATCCGAAGGGATTCTTTAGATTCTTGGGATTTTTGGATCTTTACATTTTTTTGGATCTTTGGATCATTGTATCTTTTGGATCTTTACATTTTTTTAAATTTATTTGATGTTTCTTTTTTCTTTTATTTATGTTATTATTTTTTGAATTTTTCGGATTTTTGGGATATTTTCGAATTTTTGGATTGTTGGAATTTTTGGATTTCCTGAGTTTCTTGGTTTTCTTAGATATTTTAATTTCTTGAATTTTTTGGATGCTTCAGTCTTGGAATTTTTCAATTTTTCGATCCTTCAGTCATTTATCTTCCATTTTTTGATGTTTCGAATTTTTGATTTCTCCGTTTTTCAGTTTTTCGATTTTTAAAAT